GTGCCTACCCACTTGTGACGCGACGTCCGTTCGTTTGCGGCACGTTCGCGTCCTTCCGGACCGGAACAACTGTTATAGCGATAAGACGTTGTAGTCGTCGGAAATAAAATTCGCTCTCGCATGCATGCACGGCTCGTACTTATATATATATATATACTTATATATACGAGTTCTCATTGCAAGTCAAAACGTCGCCATACACACTAATATAAGTAGGTAGGCACTATACACGCATAACAATAATAATAATATACCAAAGCTCCATATACGTCGAGTTCACCGTGGTCGTCGCAGAGACAATAATATATTTATTGTTGTACCGAGAACAATGGCATATGCGTATATACATTATTGACGAATATACACTGTACGGTGTTTTTTCTCTTCTTTTCATCATTATTATTCTAAACGGTTTTATGAAAGAAAACCGTACGTACGCATAAGATACAGTACCTACTTAGTGCAGATAGGTATATGCATAATATACTATATAGATGTATTTCAGGTATAGGATCAGAAAGCGAAAAAAATTCATAAACCCATCTTGTGCTGTATAATAGAAATTATAATATGATATATACATAAATATATCATACTTGAACTACTGTTATATTATTATGTATATAAACCGTTTACACGATAACTATATTAAATAGATACGCGCTCGCCGTGAGTATAAATTGTTCCATAAACATTTCGACGATTATTATATCATATTATATAATACATTTATACTGCAAGAGTTCGATGAGTTAGTATTATTACATTTGCCTGTATGTCTATTCTACATAAAATTAACTACATGCTGCAGTTATTGTAACAATATTATGTATTTATTGTCTAAATAAGACAGCTGTCGATGATCACGCGTATATCTTGCGTAAAGCGTTTGTTGGCCATGGGAAGGGGCGAGCGTGGTGTTAGTTTATCTATAGGTATAGTTAAATAGTTTACAGGAGGCAGACTTGTTTTTTTATAATATTTGAAACGATTATGATGTGTATAGGAAGTCTATTATAGGATGCTCGAAAGTTGAAATAATTGCTTTTGTATGATAATAATATATGGTTATAGGACTCGTCTTGATCTTAACACCTGTTGCCCGATACACAATAACAACACATCCGCCTGCAGTCGAATGCCTGCACTGGTTATTAGAACACTGAACTAACACGAATAGTATATAATGGGTAGGCACTAGAAAATAATATAGAAGCCAATGCAGTGAATATTATGCAGGTAGGTTAGGTATAAGTACACGATGTATTTGCGGCCATCAATATAGGCCGCAAATACATCTGAAATCGATTTTTTTTGTCCATTTATAGGTACTTAATATTTTTATTTTATTTTTTGACAACCGCGATTGATTCGATGCACAAACAACGCGATTAACGTCGTTCGACAAACCGTGACTGTATATTGTATCCGTCGTTGTTATATTATTATTTATTTTAACAACCGCGTTTGGCGAAAAGAATATAGCCTTAAAAACTCATCTCCAGCAGCAGTCTACGTGAGTTTATTAACCACCAATTGGCAGCATGCACACATATTATGTATATATGTATATTTATACTTTATGTTATGAAAACGTAATTATTCAGGACAACAACCGTCGTTTCGATTGAAAAATTAACGAGCCTGTTCGTTCATGTATGGAAGCATATATAATAATAATAACATTATAAGAGAAATCCAGTGAGTTTGTTTTTTATCGGCGAAGAAATGAAGAGTGAACGCGTGGAGTTATAATAATTTAATTATATGAAGAATGTTGATTTTTTTTAAGTGTCACGAAGATTATTCGATGATGGAGATGACCGTTGAACTCGAAAGTTGTAATGGCAAACTCCCAGACGCGCGTGAACCCTGTGACTGCAGTATAAAAACAAGTATTATTGTGAAGTGGAGTGACATGACAGTAATATTATATACTAATGAAATAAAAATGCAATATAATAAATAAACGTACTAGCTAATGGTACAATGTAAAAACGTATCCGGAGAAGGGTCGTCGAGAACAAAATCTATATTATTATAAACTAAGAGGGCCTAACCTAACACATCGCGCATATGCCGTTTCCATTTTACAAACGCGTCGAGGTAACAACTTTGAGTTCAGCAAACTAATTTTGTGTTACTACATTCGATGTTAGAATGAATTGATTGAGGTAAGAATAATATTCAAGGAATTGCGTAAGCTTTTAATAATATTTGAAATTTTAAGTTTGTAGTAATAAACTTTTTACAATTAGAATATTTTATATGATTATATGTATACTTAAACTTACCTATATATATATAAAACATACTTTAATGTTATGAAAATACCTAAAAATTCTAAGAGGTGCCCTAGATTATTTCAATACCTTTAAGAGGTTACTAAGAATCAGATTTAAACAAATATTAAAGTCAATAACACGAAATTAATTTTACTAAACGTAAATAAATTTGCCTTGTTATGCGTATTATTCGTATAAGAATGAGATGACAACACAATACGCGGGTGTGGCGTGCACCTAAATGTCCTAAACCGTCCCGCAACGGTCGGTTTGAAAAATGAGTTCCTATTTTGTTTTGAAAATTGAGTCGACCACATTCGACCGCACAAGGACATCCAGCAAACTACGATGGCAGGTGCCGGTGGGTCGCGAATGGGCGTTTTAAAACTAAATTATTGATTACAACTGACATATCGCGCCCGGTCGGTGACGTGTATGCGGAAAACACCGCAAGATATACGCGTGGGATACGCGGAAAATGTACGCCCCTTAAATCCAGTTCCCGCCATAAATATCGTAACATCGTTTCAAACTTTTAAAAATGTGCTAAATAAAAATTGGCTCGTTTGAAAAAATTATGTTTATTCGCCACTGCTGGGTAGTCTAATTAACGCCTTAAAGTTTTTAAAATATGCGCTTTTTAATATAATTATTAAATAGTATATAATCGAAAATTCGTAGCTAGAAAATGAAATGGAGCATATAATCTTTCAGTCGTTGTTATTACAGGTCGTCGTGATAAAATGAATCCTATCAGAAGGCCGGCGCGCAAAACCGTTATGGTGATGGTTATTGCAAATTAGCGATTAGTTAAATCGAATAGATTGAATATAGATTAACCGAATTAGTTTATAAGCATATACCTTATTGTTTCACTTTAACTGTTAAACACTATAGGTGTATGCACTATGTAACGCCACCAGGAGACTTTAACGTTTCCAGGTCAGGAAATTTGAATAAAACGGTCGTTTTCGATGGATTCGACCGGACAAGGTCGTCGTCAGCACGTCCTCCTACGCGCGAGAGGCGCTCGCGGAACGAATCTTGTCGATTTTATATACACACCATTATATAGTACATATTATTATATATTTATATCACGCTATTATTTCATCGTCGCTCGCGTTTCACGTGTAAACGATGTGCGTGCACATATATTCATATTATATGTATTATACACGACGTAGATCTGTCGGAGACAGGCGCGAGCCATCGACGCGAAAAGTGAAAGGAGGGCGGTGGGAAATATTAATATAATATAGCTAATAAAAATGATGATTCGATTTTAAAAAGCGAAACACATATTTCTGGCTGAGCGGCGGCGACAGAGTCAGCTGTCACAAGGTCGGCGGAGGGACATCATCTGCTACATTACTATTGTATTAAAATGCCCGATTACGACTATACTTATATATATATATTATATACGGATTTAAAAATCGTTTATATACACATGTAGGTAATAACCTGAACGAAAACAATATATTATGATAAACGCACCTTGTACAGTTTGTCCTTGTTGTACCACACGTCTTCTTCTTCTTCAACCTGGACGGGAAATCCTACTCCCGAGTCCAAGTTCAGATCGTCCCTGGACCTGGACAGTATTCGGCGCCTGGATATCATGTCGTTGGGCACTGCTAACGACGGACAACTGTAACACAAGACGAATCGTACCAGTTAGCGACAGTGAAATATAATACAATACAAATAATGTCAACAACAACAACAACAATAATATGTGCTTTCTCGATCGACAAACGGTTAAGTATATATTGCGTAAATAGGTACGCGCACATTTGTGTGTGGGATTAACAATGGTAGGTATCGTAATAATAATATAATAATGTAATGGGCGGTTTTTTTTCTTTTTTTGACACACGTGCCTATATGTCTATAGGTATAAAATATAATATATAATTAATGCGCACCTTGTCAAGGCGGGGGACACGAGTAAAAGCGATCTCACCAGAGACCGCGCCGCCGTACAGGTCGATCAGATCTCACGCGTATATATTATTATAATCTCAGAGAAACGTCGTGTGTTTGATTTTCCTATACTCGAAAGGTTTATTACAAAGCCGATCGATATTATTCGCTATTATATTATTATATACGTATACTATATATACACACCAAACAGTCGACAATCGCGTCGATTGTATAGGTACTACTACAAGTATATACAACATATATCGGCTGGGTGTATATATAGGTACACGATATAAACGAGTCCAAGGCCCATTATAATATGTACTGTATGTATAGATAATAATATTATATAGATCTTCGTCGAATCGTGTGTATAATATAATTACGCGAGAACACTGCACAACGTTCCTACATGTACATAGGTACGCGCGCGTCATTTACACGGGCACGGCAATTATTATATATTCTCCAAGACCGCGTGTGTACTCCGCCACCGCATAATATGTGCGTTTAACTGTTTGAGTCTTTAAAGACGTATTATAAGGTGTCGCGACGAGTATATAGTAATGCGCGGCACGAGCACTACACCCGAGGAAAAGGTCACGTTTTTTGTTGCTTAAAGGACGACATTATACTACGATTTTTATTCAACAATTAAACAATAATAATAATAATAATAATCTCACGTTCTCGCGGGACCGCTTACATCAAGTGTGTGTGTGGTACCGAAAACAGACGGCGAAAGTGTGAAAACGCACCGAATACACGAGATTATAATTGTTGTCGTTACGTGTCGTTGATCAACATATAAGAAATTTTGTTCACTGGTCTGTGCGGAGGCGGTATCATTAGGTATACGTTTTTAAGTTTATATTTCACCAAAGTTTCCCCAATTATTATTTTCGTCCAGTCGTGTACGATTATACAGCAGCAATAACCGGACCCGGTGATGACGTATCATATATAATATTATTATACGCCTGCAGCAGATACCTATCTGTGAAAAGACCATAATCATATACGACATAATATATATAATAGCAGAGCGAGAAAGGGATATTGTAATGATAAAATGTATATCACATATTCCTATATAGTATATACGAAAGCTCGGCCAAGGTCGAAATGGTGACCGCAACAGACACTTTAGCATACGTATTTTTGTAAGGCTTTGTGATAAACCGCAAAAAAAAAGTAAGTTATATTATAATTTAACTGTATAATATTATCATTATCAATACTATACTAGCTATATGTTAATTTCAAAACCGTTTAATGAAATTGTAATTTTATTTTTTTGATCACGAAACTTATATTTTTCCCATGCTTGATTCGACTGTTTGCTAATTTTTAGACACAAAAAACAGTAGCCTTAATTTATTTGCTTTAAACTAGCAGAATCGATTGGTCATTTAAACGATGATGGGTCGTATAGGTCACGTGTTGGCACCTATAAAATCTCACAGCGATGTTGTCGCATTTTGCAATATATATGTGCATTGTGCATTGTACCCGGCTAAAGGTCTTGCCGCTGTAGGACCCGATCGTCAATCACAATTTATTTTTAAATGTCGAAGGTATAATAGTAAGCCGTTATAGCGTTACGGCGCGAGGCGTCGGCTGTGTTACACAATAGTGCAATACCTACGGCACTAATATTATACGCGTATTTCGTTCTCAATTTTTTTTTCTTAATTTTTTCACAGCCACGCGTGCACCCGAGTTCGTGATTATAATTCGGTTCGTGTGAAGAAAATACTCGGCCTCACTCCAGTTTGCCAAACTCTGTAATAATTATATTATTATTATTATATATTCCTGTATTATACAGTACATATTATAGTGACGGTTATTTATTTTCTCGTTTCATTCGCCGCGAAGGTCTCTGGGCAAAGACGCACCTGCAGCTCAGTGTACTGCAGAAGGTTAGGAGCTGGTTATATAATATAGGTTGCAGTAAGTCACTTGCGTCCCGAAAAAACCTATTTACGAGAGAAATTCGTTGGTTATAATATTGCGGTGGAGAAGATGCGAACTTCAACGATTCTCACCAATAATACCCCATTTCAGAAATACATATTATTTTATAATAAAACGAAAAAACATTATTTATAGTCTTCACAATAATTATATCCCATTGACCCAGTATTTATAGTAAACTTAATTTGTCCTCTTTGGATGAATCGCTGATCATGATGTCATTATGACCGTCGTCGTTCCCATAACATTGTATTTTGCAATGATATTTCATAATTATATTCTGGAAAAAAATTATCCTTCTCTCATCTCTCCAATTATTAAATCCAAAGTCCCTAAGACGTTACAGGCATGTGCTCGTCAAAACACTCAGTATAACATAAAAGCTGCGACATAAATCCCATAATTCCTTACTGCAGCTCAACCCATAGTTAATTAATTAATATCAAATCATTTTATCGCATTATGAAATAAAAAACCCGGAAGACCTAAAGGTCGTACAAAAAAGGAGTACCTCTAATATTCATAAATATAGGATTTTTATTTTATTAAATGGTTCACAAATATATTTAAGTTATTTTTTTACCTTTAATTTTTCTTGTTAGACAACATGTGCATATTTTACACTGGGCGTTAACCATTATATACTATATATATGATGATGTATAATGTAATAAACAATGAATTATATTATCGCATATTATATTGTGCGGGGAAACCGTTCTCGCTGCACTCCGGTGTGATGTAAATGTATACCGTGCGCGCAGTCGAAACGCGTTCCGTAATAGCGTGTAGCCATTGTAGTATATATATTGTTTGTCGGTGACTATATAAATATATACAAGTGTGTGTGTGTATAAAATTATATTATACATAGGAAGAAGAGTATAATATTCATCGTTGTCTTCTCGCATTTCGGCACATCCAACACCACCGCGGCCACTGAACGACTTTCGAAACGACGCAGAATTTTTTTCGATAGAAAATATTGCATTGAAATCAAGAAATCGTCCCGATACTCGAAAAAAGGGGACCCCGTTCTCATATCACTCTCTGTCTATACCCGTAGATACGCGGCAAACACAATACACCGACTGCGGCAATAATAATCACGTAAACCGCGTACGATATAGAGCCACAGAATATTTCTCCCATGCGATGCTCATCCATCTCACTAGACGTATATTTATTGTTATATGCGTATAGTCACGTATAAATTGATACAACCACAATTTAATGAATAATAACAAATCACAATAAAAATATTGTGTATATGTGTGCGTATTTGTCTAGAATACGATGCGTACCTATATATGTTGTGTACAGAGTGATTCACCTGCAATCATGCTCGCCCCTTTATTTTATCATTTGATGATGCAATTATTCCAATTCCGATTTTTTTTTAAGTTTTAAGTATACTTAAGGACTGTATTTTCAAATATTTTTTTTTCAAACGAAAACCGAAATCAAATCGAAATTCGAACGATAAAATAAAATATGAAGGCTATGCCGATTACTTAAGAGTAAGAACTAAATTAAACATTAAATCTAATTTATCATAGTTTTCATAAAACCATTTTTAGAGACTATTATATTCTTAGTATACACACGCGTTTTAATAACTCTATAAGACTATACTCGTTCGAATTTTGTGAATCATCCTGTATAATGTAATATATAAGCGCACGTGTGACAGTAAGGACGAAATTGCCCTTCGTGGTTCACATCGGAACAATGGCCACGCCATCATATATGATACATATATAATAAGTACGAGTGCGAGAATGTGTGCGAGTTCGTTTTTTGACGTATCTCGTTGACAAGTACCTATGTGCGTGTGTGTCTGTGCAATGTATAATATAAACCCTCTATACATGTTTGTTATTATATTTATGTTTGAGTTGTATAATATATATATATATGGATATTGCAAGTGCATATTTCGATTTCCCGCCACACCCGGCGCGCGTGTTCGTGTTTCACAACGAAAGTTTCCCATACACTTACCGCTGCAGGTTCGTTGCCAACTTGTCGAAGGTATACACATAAATATAACAATGATTGTATATTATAATAGTATCGCGTTGTTCGTATACATATGTGTAGGCATACTACCTATATAATATATACTGCGTGTTTATATATTATTATATTATGCATAGAGGTAGGCATATGTAGAAGATGATTGACATGGCGGCCCGTTATAATTAATACGCCGGTCGCGGCTGTCGCCTATATATTTTATAATATTATACACGGTGGCAAAAGAATTCACATTTTTTACCGTATGGTCGTAAAAAACATACGGATTGACGATTCTCTCTGACCAAATAATTATTGAAGTACCTACACTGACCCATCGCAATACTATACCGTATATTCGCGCGTTTCTAGATTAAGTCATTATAAATTAGCAGGGAATCGCTGTAAAATCCTTGGCTGAGTATACTCGTACTACTGTAGCTGACTACTATAATTTCAAATGTCTACGATGTACCTACATAGTTCCTGAATGCCGCGTTATGGATAAAAAAAAGAAGTATAATAATAATATGTGGTATAGAATAAATACATATAATAGCTTATTTGCTGATCAACTGCGCCGACGACGATGACACTCGCGCGTCCGTGACCGATGATGGGGCTTTTATAATATATATTTTCATTTAATTTTTTTTTTAATTACAATATTTTGTGATATAGTATATTTCGCCGAATATTGTGTTAGGTATATGTGCCACGWGT